CGCCCGTTTGAAAGGAGGGAAAGTAGAGTTGGGTGGGGGGGTTTCTTCAAGACGAAGATATTGAGATGAGAAAAGTCTGGTTATTTATAGCGAGTTAAGGATCGTCTGTTAGTATAATCAGTCATTAGCTAAAGTTGGAACAGCTGTGAACAATCATAAGCACGAGATCCTCTCGAAATTTGTTTATAAATAAACTTCACTTATTTTTTACATGTTTGAAATTGTCTAAAATCTCTTTAAAAAGTCCATAAATTGACAAATTCTGAAATAAATAAATGATTTTTGGCATATTTGGACTTTATTTGGACTAGAAAACTAGGAAAAGCATTTTCTGCCATGCCTAAAATACAGAATCATGGCGTTAATTTGATGATTATTGCTGTGGATTATTATTTATTGTGATTTATATGGAACAAAATCAATGCCAAAAGTCTTGAATAGCACAAACTGAAAAAAATAATACACCGTATTAACAAGTTCTTGTATTTTAATGACTTGAAATCCAGGGTTTGTATTTTTAGGTCCTGAAATTTAACATAGCCGTTTATTTAAGCTGTGAATATTTCAATGAAAAATATTTCAAACATGTTTTCATACTTAAAAATTCAATAATTCATATTTAATTTCCAGATTTCACTTACAAAATATTCAATACCCTTTAAAAATACGATGTATAATATTCAAAAGGTCATTTTCAGTTCATTTTATTTCAGTTCTAATATTCGCTTCCATAAATTCAGTATTATTATAAGATTTCCTCTCCTGTTTCTCTTACATTTGTATTCTTTAGCTGTCAAAATAATACTTCATGTCTATGGAAGAAAGAGTAAATAAAGATAGAGAATGTGTAACATCATATTCATCAAAAGATGGTTTATGTGTAACGATAATGTATTCACGTTTTGAATTATGTATTGACTTGTATTATGTATTCACGTTTTTCGATTTGTGGTAAGATTATTTTGCTTACCCCATTGGCAGATTATTTAGCTTGATTTTAGGAAAACCTCACTTCATTTTGGCATATTAATTCTTAAAACAATACAATATGTTTTGCTTTTCCAGAAAATGCTTCTTGATTTAAGAACTTTTAGATATTTGGACTAAAAACAAGATTAAAAATCTAAGTAAGAATAGCATTTTTTGCAGTGTGTGGACAATGTTTGGACTAGAAACGAGACAAAC